GTCCATTTCTTCAAAAAAACAGGGGGGGTTGTCAATAGGAGGTCACTTTTTTATCAAAATAACGAAATAAATATATTTTAAAATACACTCATTGTGTTGATTTTGAATTTTTAATCAATCTAAAGCTTATTTTATGAAAATAAACTTTCATTATGTCGTTTAATATTGTCACGTAAGTGTCGTTCACCCCCTTCGTAGCTTTTCTATAAATAGTAGCAGCTGTTGCAAACCAGAGATTAGCCAGTGGCCGTGTTGTATGGCAGATGTGGGCAGCGCGCTCCCGTCTGTCTGTGGCTTTTAAAGGGCGGCGGCGGGTTAAAGCCGAGGAAAGGCAGAAATGAGGAGGAATGTGTCGGTGTGAGGACGCTTTCTGTCACGACGGAGAAGCTCACATCGGTAAGTTTCCGTCGTGCCGCGGACGAGACGAAGGAGGTCTTTTTTTGTCCACGAAAAAACAACCGCTTCGGGGTAATGTCAAAATACTGTACAACTCGGCTATAAAAAAGTCAAGCCTTTTCGATTTGTGACAGCTAAGCCAACAGTTAATATAGGGTGATTGTTTTTAATTAGGCGTATGAAAAGGCTGGGTTAAGGTTTTGTTGCTAACTTAAAGGAGAAACGCGAAGCAGTACAAATTAATCCGCTATTCGGGGGCGGCTACTTACTGTTCGCACAAAAAAGGGCCTCGGCTAATTTCAGTGTCAAAAACACAATGAAAGTCTTATTTTTCGTCTGTCAGAAATGATCTCTGCTTGTTGGCCTTTTTGTTTCAACCAGCCATGGCTCGTCACATCACTAATAATAGCAATGAATGTGAAATTATCAGATTGTTTGGCGGCTGAAAAAGCCTCATTATATTATAACTTCAATGAGAAATATCAAATCATATTGCATCTGCCTCTAATGATAACAATACAAATGCATTTGCTTTAAACTCTTTATTACTTCAAAAAGAAAAATTGTATAGGTCTTCTGGACGGGTTCTTCTCTAATGAAACATTTCGTCTCTCCTCCAGGACACTTCTTCAGTCTGAGAGTTTCAGGCAAAATTCAGGCTTTTAAGCACTACCTCCATGTGACTCATACTCACATCACATGGCTATCGTTGACACCTAATTAACACCTATTGTTATCAGTGGGTGGAGTGATACTGGTAATGGCTGCACTGTAGGAGGGGGACAACTGAAAACGGAGGCCTCCACCTCTGTTTAATGATGGACGGTCTTTCTTCACAAAAATGGCTTCTTTTACTCCTCTCTCAAACGAGGATGTTCTCATTCTTGATAGAGAGGAACGTTGGTTTGAGAGAGGAGTAAAAGAAGCCATTTTTGTGAA